TCCCTGGCAAATAGATGGGGAAGAAATGGAGGTAGTGACAGATTTTATTTTCCTGGGCTCCAAGATCACTACACACGGGGACTGCAGCCAAGAAATTAAAAGGCGCTTGCTCCTGGGGAGGAAAGCTATGGCAAATCTAGATAGCATACTAAAAAGCAGAGACATCACCCTGCCAACAAAAGTGCATATAGTCAAGGCTATGGTTTTCCCAGTTGCAATGTATGGCTGTGAAAGCTGGACCATAAGGAAGGCTGAGCGCCGAAGGATTGAGGCTTTTGAATTGTGGTGCTGGAGGAGACTCCTGCGAGTCCCTTGGACCGCAAGGCGATCAAACCTGTCAGTCCTAGAGGAGATCAACCCTGACTGCTCTTTAGAAGGCCAGATCCTGAAGATGAAGCTCAAATACTTTGGTCACCTAATGAGAAGGAAGGACTCCCTGGAGAAGAGCCTGATGCTGGGAACAACTGAGGGCAAAAGAAGAAGGGGACGGCAGAGGATGAGGTGGCTGGATGGAGTCACTGAAGCAGTTGGTGTGAGCTTAGGTGGACTCAGGAGATGGTGGAGGACAGGAAGCCCTGGAGGAATGTTGTCCATGGCGTTGCAATGGGTAGGACACGACTTCGCGACTAACAACATGTCATTTCTTCAAAGAGATAGGTGCATAAGCAGTATTAATATTGCTTGCTTGCTTTCGTAACCTTAAAATCCAACCTTATTGGCACCCACTGCTTGACCAGTCAAAAGCATTCATTTTCTTTTATTCTGAAAAATGTTGGGAGTGCCTCCACGTTGGAGGGGCAGGTATGCACTGGCTTTTTGTGCAGTTCAAAAATGCTTAGAATAAACCTCGGGGAGGTGCGGGAGAACGGGGTCCTTCATGTACGCTGTTGGCCTCAATATTGGTGCTTCCCGAGCCGTGGATCGGGGCGGGCTGAAACCGCAAAGGGAAGGGTGACCGTGAGCTCTCGGGGCAGCTGGCAGCGCGCTGAGGGCACATAATGGGGCTACGCGGTGGCGGCGAGAGAAATTGGGGCAATTCTTCCGCTACCTCTGGCTCCCTGAAGCATCGTGTTAAGAAGGTACGATGGAGGCCTGGGGGAAAAATCTTAACGCGAGTTTGGTTCAGTCTGAAAACGCGCCCCGCGCCGCTGGCTCGCGCGAAGGCTCTCATCCAACCTGCGCGGGGTCGGCGAGCGGCGCGCTTTGCGCTCGTGCGCGCTGCCCCGACACGGAGGCCAGATCGGGCGCGCCGAGCGCAGCGGCGCGCACGGGACGGGACGGTGCGGCGCGGCGCGGTGCGGTGCGGAGCGGCGCGCGCGCGGCCCTTCCTTCCTTCCTTCCTTCCTTCCATCTTTCCCGGCGCGTTCAAGCCGGGCAGCCGCAGGCCGCGCTGCGCAGATCCCGGGGCAGGATGCGCGCGCGCGTGGAGCGGGCAGGCGCGGAGGGCGGAGAGGAGCGGGCCGGGGGCGCCCCTCAGCGCCCCTGGGCGGGCTCCCCGGAGCCTTGCCCCTGCGGAGGCGGGGCGACCGCCGCGGGGCCTGTCCCGGGCAGCCAGTCCGATCCCGCCCCGTGCGGGGGGCGGGGACCGAGGCAGGAGGGGAGAGGAGCCGAGCGCCGCCGAGGCCAGGCGCCGGGCGGAGGAGCCGAGCGCCGCCGCCGCTGCCCGAGGAGAGGAGGCGCTGCGGGCGAGCGCGGGATCCGGAGAGGCGGCCGGGATGGCGGCGGACGGCGGCCTGGAGCAGCGGGCGCTGCAGTACGAGCAGACCCTGGTGAGTGCGCCGGCCCCCCCGCCGGCCCGTCCGGAGGAGGCGCTCGGGCGCTCCCTCTGCGGCTGCCCCGCAGGACGGTTTCTCGGCGGCAGGGCAGGGAATCGCTCCGAGGTTCATCTGCAGCGCGGGGTGCGCGGGAGGGAGGAAGCGGATCCGACCATATGCAGAGCGCCTCTCCAGAGCCGGTCCGGGGCTGGAGGGGGGCGCTTGCCAAGACCGCGGGGCGTCCCGGGACCTTTTGCGCTAGTCATCGACCCGCCCCCCGTCCGCCGCGCCACTCCATGAACGGGGGAGATCGGCCGGCCGTGGAAGGGCTGACTCAAAACGGGGAATCGTCCAGGTTCAGTCGGGGATCCCTGAGCATGTGTAGAGTGTCTTTCTCTCGCCGCCTAGAGTCGCGTGGCTTTTTAACGCTAGGCGCATTGCTGCCAGATAAAGAACAGCCGCAACAACCTGCAAACTTGGGACCTTCCGCACGCGAAGTTCCACCGCTGCGCGATCGTGTCCCCTCCTCGAAGTTTATCCTCCTCTCTGAATTCCCCAACTGACTCCCCCCCCCCTTGCACTGGCAACGCGGAGCTTTCCTCCGAAGTGTTCATGTGCCCCAGACCACTCGGCAGAAAGAAATAAGCAAGTGCGAGGGTGCGGGATTTGAGGCTTTGTGGGAGCATCCCGGACTTGACAAAGTTCAGGGTGCCACACTAGGCACCGAGTGGGCATTGAAGGAAGCTGTGGAACTCACTGCCACCAGACAAGTGGTCACAAGTTTGGGTGGATTTTAAAGACTGGACAAATAAACGAAAGAGAAGGACTGTCCATGCTGGCTCTAGGCTACCTCCAGTGTCATTGGCAGGATGCCTGTGTACCCCAGTTGCTGCGGAGCATGGGCGAGCAGGTGCTGTTTCACTCGTATCCGGCTTATGGGTTTCCTGTGGAGGTTTGCCTGCTCCGTGGCCAAAATGCTGGACCAGATGGGCGCTTGGTCTGCTCCACAGGAACTCCGCTTTGGTCCTAGGAAGGATTGGGAGGTGGGCAAGCCAGAGTCCTGATTCTGGATGTGTTTGACTGGATGTTAAGGAGACTTTGCCATCATGGACCAAGGTGATGCAAGAGGGTATTTTGGGAGCACAGGAGGAGGGCTAGGCAATGATGTCAAGGCCATTGTGCAAGATGCGCTCCTGTGCACATGAGTGTGGGAGGAAGTGAGCTGGGGCATTTTCGGAGCAGGTTGCTGTTTCTGGATCCATGGCAGGGCAAGTGACACTCGTATGGGCTCGTCAGGATGAAATGGGCAGCGCCCACATGCTGAAACAGGGCCTCCTCCACATGCCGCCATGAATGCACGTGAGACACGCTATTGCAGGAGGAGGATGGACTTCTTCGTGGTGGCACCTCCCTTGCGGAAATCTCTTCGGGGGGAGGGGGACCGTGCAGGTTCCAGCACTAGTGCTGTTCGGTTGTCAGGTTAAGGTCCTTTTCTTTTCGCAGCTTTAATCCCTTATATATTTTTCCTTGCAGCTGGGACTGAACACAGCGTGTTGTAATGTGTGTTCAGTTGTTGTAAACTGCATTGGAAGGTTTGAGCCAAAGAGCTGGCATTCAACGACATTGCTGTGTTAAAAATAAAGAACAGCCCTGCAAGGTAGGCTAGGCAGAGAGGTGGTCACTCACTGAGCTTCATGGCTGAGTGGGGATGTGAACCAGTATTTTAACTCAGCCTTCTTCAACTTGGTACCCTCCCAGTGTGTTGGTTTATAACTCCCACCTTACCCGGACTGCATGGGAGTAAGTCCCACTGAATTCACTGGGGCTTATTTCTGAATAGACATGCATAATTTTTTTCTGTAAAAGTGACTGAACTACAACTCCTGCTTAAAAAGCAGTTTTAGGACACAGTCTTAGCATGTTAAAATGGAAAAAGTCCTACCTAGCATTCTGCAACCATGTTGGAAGTTGTAGGAGTTTTGTCTGTCTAAATAAGAGTAGGATTACATCCATAATTACTAGTTCACTACCTTTTGTAAGAACTTTGAAGTAGTTAAGTGCTGATCCTGGTATGAAAATTAAAACATGTTTTTAAAGGATTATTAGAGTGGTCAAACAAATCGCTTCCCTGTTGTTTAGGGAATTCATCCATTTACTTTATTCACCCAGCCCTGCTCAAAGTATTTTGTGCAAATTGAACTTCAAAGGAAGATTACATACATTGAGAAATGTGGCCTGTTAAGTTCCATCATTAATCAGAGCAATGCGCTATTAGCCGTTCATTAACATGCTTTCACTTGTGCTGCTTTTTTTAAATTTTTTGAACTACCCCTAATTAACAGTCCAATCCTATGTGAGTTTCCTAAATCCGCAGTGCTTGATTGAGTGTATGCCTAGGTTAGTGCATTTTGGTCTACAGATAAAGACTGATCCCCCTCCAGCAGTGTTCACTGCAACTCCCATCATCCCTTACTAGTGTGTTTGCTGCCTGGGGCTGATGGGACTTGTAGTCCAACAACACCGAAAGCTACCTATTCTCCAACTTTGGCCCTTGCCAGATATGTTGGCGTACAAGTCCCAACATGGCATGCTGGGAAATGTAGTCCAATACATCTGGAAAGCCCCAGAGTGGGGGAGGCTGGCTGAAAGGGCCACAGAAACCACCCCCCATCCCTACCCCCCAGCTACAAGTAGTCAAACTGGAGCAGGGCTTCCCACCCACTTGTCCAGGCGATGGACTAATCCCCCAGCCTCATCAACGCTGGCCTTTGCTAGAGGATCAGTGCTCAGACCACAAAGACGGCTGCTTCCAAAGAGTGACAGTCCGTGGAAGGAGGGTTTCCAGGAATTTGGGGCTTGTTGGTAGAAGGAACACTCTGATAAAGCATTTAATATATGTAGAACCTCACGTCCTACAGCCAGCATAAAGCCTGCTGGTTTAAGTTTCAGATTTTAATAGAGGATGACAGCTGAGGGACGCTGAGGAAGGAACATAGTGCAAAACATGTGCTTTGGATGTAAAAATTCTCCGGTTCAGTGTCCGGCGTGTGCTGGATTTCTGGCAACACATTGGGCCCATGAGGAACTGTTGCAGATAGATTAGCATGGCATGAAGCAGACTCCGGGGTCCGGAAACTTTGTGTCTCGGTTGTACGGAGCTTCCTCTGTGGGGTTTTCCCTGCTGCCTCCGTCCAGGGCATAGACAGCAGAAGCCCATCAGCGCCAAGAGACCGGGTGGTACAGAGATGCTGTTGTAGACGACGATGATAAAATTAAAACAGTACACTCACACATATGTGTCGAGTACATTACTGGATCTTGTGCTCAAATTGCTTCTCCAAAGTATTGGATGTTGGTTTTAAGGACGCAAACAAACATGGCTACATAAAGTAACGGCTTTACTTGGGTAAAAGACTGACCTGGGGTGGAGGATTATGAAACTTTTTCTTGTCTGGCCGCATTCCTGCTCAAAATCTCTCACCCTTTTGGCCTACAACTCCCAGCAGCATTGGCCATGCTGGCTGGGGATGATAGTAGTTGTATCCCAAAACATCTGAAGGGCACAAGATTATGGCAGGCTGGGCCAGGGAGACCACTAGAGAGGCGTTCGTCCTTTTGATCTCCCACCTGTGTGGAAAACACCTTCTTTAAAATAAACAAACGCATCTGAGGAAGGCTCTGTTAAGTTTTCTCCCTGAAGGTGCCAATTTACAAAGTGAGGGGGCTGAAATGGGGAATGTTTATAAACTCTGAAGCATCCTTGCAGTTGGCAACGGGTCTGTCCTGAATTCTGCTCCCTCCCGCAGCATGCACAGAATCGCTGTAAGATTCGTCTCCCTGAGCAGGACTCTTCTCTCTTACTTGGTCCTTCAGCTAGCACGCATCTTTCCTCTAAAGCACATCCTAAATTTGTTCTCCCCAGACAACACTTTCAAGTTGCTCAGGTTCTTTCCATCCCCCACCCCAAGCTGTGCACGCTCATGTAACACCCTGTTAGCACAGCTGCAATGCTGGCCCGCAGCAATCTGCAGCAATCTGCATTTTCCCTGAGCATGGAATGTGGGACCCTCATTAGATCGCGTTAACCCTGTTATCGCCCTTTGTGATCTGTCCCTCCAGCTCTGCCACTGTGCGGCCCGTCACGCCTCAGTTTTCTGATCCACCTGATGTCCTACTTCTATCCAGAACCTCAGCAATGTGTCAAGGACCCTTCTCTGCTAAATGCCAGAGGCTCAGTTCTTGCTCTTCAGCTCTTCACTTCTTGCTGGTGACCAGCTGTTCTCTTACTGGATGGTAGACCAGCTGTGCCTGAGATGATGCCCTCCAGATATTTTAGACTATGGCTTCACTACTTTTGACCAGTGGCCATGCTGCTCACGGCTGATGGGAGTTGCAGTCCAAAATATCTTAGACTGAGGCATTTGGGCCAGTCCGCTTTAGATCTAATTTATAGCACAATCGATCTTGGATTGAGCTGCTCCTGAGTTTCGTGGGGAGGACTTGCGAAAGTGGGTCTCAAGATATTCTGGGTTTCAGCGCCCATATTGCTGACCACCCGCCATGCTGACAGCAGCTTCTGGGAGTCACAACCTTCTAGAGAACTACCTTCTGTGCAAATATTTTGACCTTCAACTCCCATCAGCCAATAGTCCAGTTGTTTGAGCGACTGGGGAGCACCAGCTTGGATGAGAATAGGTTAGAGGGGAAAGGGCTGGGGAGAGCTGAGGACAGATCTTGATTTATCCATCAAGCTCAAGGGATTGCATTGTACTAGCCGCAGTTGCTCAGCCTAGACTACCTTGCAGGGCTGTTTGGAGGGGGGAACCATGTATAGCATATTCTGCATGTAAGAACTACGGAGAGGGAAAAGCCATGGTGAGCTGGTAGAAGAAAAATGGACTGAAAAAGAAAATACAGCATGTGAGACTGCCATCATGTCTGAATGTTGTCTTGTGGGGAAAGCCTCTTCCTCGGATATTAGAAACCAGCATGCTGGGAGGAAAGCAAGGCTGCAG